TTACGATTGCGACTACGACGACCATCACTACGACTACTACGAGCGCCACTACTACTATTATTACTACTACTACTATTCCGATTACTCCTACTACTACCACCACTACCACCACTACTGCTACTATTAACGTTACTGCTGCTAGTACGAGTACTAGTATTAATATCGGTATTATTACCGCAACTTCTACTACCACTAATACTATATTGCGACCGCCCCCCTACTACCACAACCACTATTACTACTACTACTACTATTACTACTACTACTACTACTATCAATACTACTACTACTACTACTACTACTATTATGATTAATGCTACTATTGCTACTACTACGACCATTACTACTACTACCTTTACTTTTAGTTTCACTACTACTACTATTTGTACTACTAGCACTACTATTGTTATTACTGGCACTGCAATGGCTATTACTAGTACTACTACTACGACTACTACTACCAGTCTTACTAGTACTACTTCTACGGCTACTACTACGACTACTACGACTACTACGACTACTACTACTACTACTACTACTAGTACTACTACTACTACTACTTCTACTTCTACTACTACTACTACTACTACTACCACTACTTCTACTACTACTACGACTACTACTACTACGACGACGACGACTACTACTATTACTACTACTACTCTTACTCTTACTACTACGACTACTACCAATACTTTTAGTACGACTAGTTCTATTCCTACTACTACTACTGCTACTACTGCTACTACTACTGATACTACTACTACTACTACTACTACCACCACCACTACTACTACTACTACTACTACTATTATTACTACTACCACTACTACTACTACTACTACTACTACTACTACTACTACGAGTACTACTACTACTACTACTAGTACTACTAGTACTACTGCTACGACTACTGTTAGTATGACCCCCATCATTGCATCAACCAGTGCAACTACGATTCTGTCCATTATATCGGAGTTCTCCCCAAAGACTGCTTGCTTTTAGGTTATTTATGTATCTTCCAAGGAACTTGGCTTAGTTGTCGGTCGCGTCAGCTTGTGGCCGCTCGTCGCCGCCCGTCGCTGTCGTCCTTGGTCACGATCTTGAGTGTACGTCCAGAGTTGCGCCTGGTTTTCGGTCCGGCCAGGTTGTCGCCGCTCGTCGCCGCAGTCCTTCGTCATTACTTTGATTGTGCGAGGCTCGCACTTCAGCCTTTTTCTGTTATGTAGGATGCGTTGTTTTGCATTGCTTTGCATGGCTCCGCATTTGTTTGCATCGCATTGCGTTGCATTGTTTTGCATTGCTCCGTCTTGCTTTGCATGGCATCGCATTACCTACGTGTCATTGGGTTTCACTGTTTTGAATTGCGTTCCCCTGCTACGCATTGTTTTACATCGTTGTGCATTGTTTTGGTGTGCGTTGGTGTGCTTTGTTTTGCATTGTGTTGCATTGCTTTGTGTTGCTTTGCGTTGTTCTGCTTCGCATTACTTCGCTTTGCTTTCTCGGCATTCTGTTGCACCACATCGGTTGCACCACATGGATTGCACCACCCAGATTGCACCACATGAATTGCAACACCTACACTGCGGTGCATCGGTTGTAGAGAATCACTATTGGGGCCCACGTTGGGTAGCATTGATATTATTGTTGTCATTACCACCATTACTTTTACTACTACTACTACTACTACTACTACTATTACGACGACTACTACTACTACTACCACTACTACTACTACTACTACTACTACTACTACTACTACTACTACTACTACTACTACTACTACTACTACTACTACTACTACTACTACTACTACTTCTACTACTACTACTACTACTACTACTACTACTACTACTACCATTACTACTACTACTACTACTACTACTACTATTACTACTACTACGAGTAATACTTCTTCTACTACTATTACTGCTAGTACTACTGTTGCTAGTAGTACGAGTACTACTACCACTGCTAACACCACTATTACTGCCACTACCACGACTACTACTACTACTACTACCACTACTACTACTACTACTACTGCTACCACTTTTGCTACTACTACTACTACTACTACTACTTCTACTAGTATAACTACTACGACGACTAATACTTTCACTAGGGCTATTACCACTAGTACTACTACTACTACTACTACTACTACTACTACTACGACTACTACCACTACGACTACTACGACTACGACTACTTGTAATGCTAGTGCTACTAGTATCGGTATTACAACTACTACGAGTACTACGTCCACGACAACTACGACTATTAGTAATACTGCTACTACTGCTTCTACCACTACTACTACTACTACGAGTACTACTAGGATTGCTGCTACTGTTACGAATACTACTGTGACGACGACTACTACTAGTACTATCGCTGCGACGACGACTACTACCACCCTACTATTCGTGCTTCTGACTCCTTAAATGTTATTGCTACTACTACTCCTCTTCCTATTGTCATTGTTACTAGTACTAATACTGCGATTACGTATACGACTACGACCATTACCACTACTACTACGATTACTACTACTACTACTACCACTACTACTACTACTACTACTACTACTATTACTACTACTACTACTACTACTACTACTACTACTACTACTACTACTACGACGACGACGACGACGACGACGACGACGACGACGACGACGACGACGACTACGTTTATTAACACGTCGATTACTCGTATTCTTATTGCGACTACTACTACGACGACAACTACTATTACTACTACTACTACTACCCCTGCTCCCAGTACTACTACTACGACGACTACTACTACTACTACTACTACTACTACTAGTACTACCGCTTCTACTCCGATTACTACTACTACTCCTACTACGATTCCTACAACTACTACGGCTACGACGATTGCTTCTAGTACTATTACTACCTCTACTGCAACTACTGCTGCTGCTACTTCTGCCACTAGTATCACTATTACGACGACGACTACTACTACTCCTGCTACTACCGCTGCTGCAACTGCTACTACTATATCTACAACTATCATTACTACTACTGGTAGTAGCGATGTTTCAAAGAGAGGTGGTAATATAAGCAATAGTGGTCCTAGTAGACATGAACTGTTTGGAGCTACTCGCAGTTGGAGTTATAGTATTAGTAACATTGTAGTAGTAGTAGTAGTAGCAGTAGTAGTAGCAGTAGTAGTAGTAGTAGTAGTAGTAGTAGCAATCGTTGTAGTAGTAGTAGTAGAAGTAGTAGTGGTAAAGTAGTAATAGTAGTAGTGGTACTAGTATTAGCATTCGTAGTAGCAGTATTAGTAGTAGTCGCAGTTGTAGTAGTAGTAGTCGTAGTCGTAAGAGTAGTGGTAAGAGTGGTAGTAAGAGTAGTAGTAAGGGTGGTAATAGTTGTCGCAGCAGCAGCAGCTGCATCAGTAGTGGTCGAATAAGTGGTGGCAGTAGTAGCAGTAGTGATGATAGTCGTAAGTGAAAAAGGATTGGGCCCCGCGTTGACAATTCCATCATCCCCTCAATTGAACTCGAATGCCCCTATGTTTTATGAGTTGTATTGTCGCTGTCCACGGCTCGCCGCCGTCGTCCATTCCGCCTCCATGCTCCCTCGGCTCTCCCTGCGCGCCCCCCCATCTGTAGCAGGCGGCGTTTTTCGGGCCACGCCGGCGGGCGGCAACGAAGACGTGCGCGCATGTGCGTTCTTCCTTGTGGGTGCGGTGTTCTACAAGTTGTGATTCACGTTCCTCCTCCTCCTTCTCCTTGCGGCTGCTCGTCCCTTTCCCCCGCTCTTTACTGTATGGGCGCCACCGTCGACCGGCTTGGCCCGCATTCTGCCCACCTGCACGCTGGTTCTCTCTGCTACCCGCCGTTGCAAACAGTGTGCTCATCTTCCCCTCGTCCCCCTCCACCGCATCACCCCTCCCCTCCTGCTGGAAACCTTCCTCCAGCACGTGTGATGGCGCTCGCACGAGCGAGTTGGCATGCATTGTGTGGCCGTCATTATACTATTGGGGTCCCGTGCCCCTCTCAACGCAGGTGGTGCCGACGAAGTACGGGTTCGGATTGCGAGCACCTGATGGTGGGGATCACTAAGTTTGGGACATGATGTCGTGAGTGTGCGTGCGTTCAGGGTTGCATTCGGCGAGATGCTAGTCCCACTCCTCATCATCATCGTGATACACTGTTCATACTCATGATACAGGTTGCATCTCCACATCGGCAGACTCACCATCCAAATTTCCCATCTCATGCTATTCACGGGCTGCTTCCGTGTAGAGGAATTGCCGCAATTCTTCACACTGATTGACATGCGTTTGCAGCCGCACGACACGGCAGGCACTCTGAACGATTTGTCCGGGGCAGCGGGAAGGAGGATGAGGAGGAAGGCAAGGACATATGATTGAAGGTGGGAGATGCGGAAGGGACGGATGGTTCTAGGGGTTGCGGTGGGGTCATGAAGAGCACAGTGCCGTTTTTAATGCATGCTCCGCGTGCGGATCATGTATTCAAAATGCAGGGATTTAGTATTAAAAACAACGATAAGGTCGTGCATAAAGCTGTTCAGAAATTAAACATGCATTAATAATACCATATTATTTAAAAATCCAATGTATTAAAAAATGCCCTGTAGGGGGAAGGACTAGTGCGAGAACCAGACAAGGGAGAGGAGAGGCGGCACGGATCAGCGGACAGTACATTCTCGGTCGCCGAGGTTGCAGACCCCACGGGCGCGAACGGAGGTGGTGTCTGCCTTTGAGGTGGCGCCACTGGGGCCGCAGCACGCCAGACCCTACACCGACGATCGACCTCGATGGAGCTTGGATCGACCGTCAGGTAGAGGGCGCACGTTAATGAGAGGAGAGGGTGGGGATGGGAACAGAGCGAGAGGAGAAAAGGATGACAATAAGAGGACTCAGTAATTATTCAATACGTGGCGATGCCCATGCGTGGGGGGGGGGGGGCAGTTCCCAAAAGAGGGGCGACACGGCAGACGCGACGGCGACGACACGACGGTGAAACAGGCGGCAGCCCGCTTGCGGGTGCAGGCACGGGCGTACCAGCCTCAGCAGAATTTGAGCAGGAACGAGATGCAGTGTCGGTCTCGTTGGGGCTGCACACAACCAGCCAAAACGCCAGAGAAGCAGAACCCCTACCGAACCATGCAATATAAGAGCACGGGCATGCTTAAACCACGGAGTTCAACATCTATAGGAAGACCGCGGTCGCTGAGGTCATCAGAGGCCCGTGCGCAAGGGTACATGGGGGTCCTGCCAATCACTGAACTGGCGAGCACATGTTGAGTTATATCAGCGTGCGCCCTCCTGGTACACACCTGCTGTAGATTTGAAATGTCCGTGGCACTAGATTGCACACACGCTTGGCAGAATACCTAGGCGCCACATGCGTTTAGGATATGTCTCTAGCCTTGACGGGCTTGGCACTCAGCACTTGCGAGGGCGAATTCGTCGTGGCTGGAGTGAGTCGCATCGTGATTTGCGATAGTACTTTGAAGTGTGCGTGTCCCAGACAGCCGGGTGGCCAATCATCCGAGGAGGGGCCCCAGCTATCAGGCTGGGAGCAGAGAGGCCCCGGAGAGCACGGGGAGGTCCTGGCACGACTCGCACGGCAGAAAGGCCTGTGACAACGATGGTACTGCGCTCAACGTGAGCCGTGGCTGATTCGTCAACACGGTGCAGAGCAGCGCCGCGCTTTGAACACACACCTCGGCAATGTATTGCACCAGTGCACCAGTCATGGTACTCTTCAGCTTTCTCGGGCAAGTGTTCTTTTTGATATCATTGATGGGTGTGTGTGTGTGTGTGTGTGCGTCCGCTGTTACTTGCCTTGTCATGCGTTGCCCGCCAGAGATCGGCGGTCACATGCCCCCCCCACACAGACACACACACACACACACACACGCACACACACACACGCATACTGACACAGGAAGCACTCGAAGGGAGGAAGAAAGGATCCATCACCAATTGGCAGTCATGAAAACACCGATCGCCTTGATCACTCCCTGAGGCATTATGTCGTAGCTTCGCGCACTGTTCTTCCCCAAGGTGTCGCGTGTTGTCCCACCCCCTGTAGGTAGCGGGTCGGAGAGATGGCATGTGCGAGACGTTATTTCTTGATCTATGTATTGGGAATGGTTGTTTTTGAGACGCATGTTCAGGTTCAGCTTTTGAGAAGATTAGCATGGCTCCTGCGCAAGGATGGCACGCACAAATCGCCAGCTGCTGAAAGTCGCTCTAGAGTCGCGTCCCTCCCTCACCTCCAACGCCCGTGGTGGTTGCGTTTGAGACGCGGTGTGTTCCTCATCTTCAGTGTTTTGCAGCTGTGGGCGATGAGGCGGGAAGGTCTCCAAGAGTTGCGTTTTTAGTCAGGCCGCTCTGTTTGGGGCATGGTGTGGTCACCAAGAGAGAGCATACTTTTCGGCGCCAGGCGCTCAATCAGACTGGGGTAGACCCCAATGCAGTGGAAAGTGGATGCCCAAGCTGGTTCACATGAACAAAGAAGACCAACACCTGATGGTACAGGAAGGGGGGACCATGCAACCTCGAAGCATCTCCACAATCAGTGGACGTAAGTGGTTGCCCCTGCACCTGCACCTTTACCTCCTTATCTCGGGGGGAGATGTAAGAAGGCGCTTTGGGTCTTGGACGAGGGCAGTGCACCAGACAGAGTCGTGGGGGCGGGCCAGACTGATCCTGATTGTCCAAACTCTCGACGGCAGGGAAACTTAGCAGGACAATCCCAGATCAAATCATGAGTAGCATCCCGAAGATGATCAGGCACATGTTGACACAATGAACAACATGACAACCACACGTCCAACGCTCTGGCCAAGACCACTTTGAGGCCAGTAGATTGGGCCGGGGCCCATCCAGAGACTTCCTGATTAAACAAGGCACGACTTGGCATCAATAGCCAGGTGTTTCGCCGGATGTTGCATCAGAGGGTGGCGAGGTGACGATTGTCTTTACGACCAGGCAGGCTTCAGCATCTCGTGGCAGAAGGGTCTGAACATCCCTGGCGGCAGCGAGAGGGATGTCAGCTTTATGCCATAGTGCCTCTCCTTTTCGTCAGGGGCTCGAGCGTCACCCAAGGCGAATCAACGTGGCGACGACAGCCGATGCAGGTCCATACAGCTCGCGTCACTGCGTCTGAGAGGAGACGTGTCGGAGCGTCCAGCCCATCAGGCACGTGGCGACAACCGATCGGTGATTCGACAGGGGAGTGCGGGTGGCTTGCAGATCACGATCACCATCTGGCCATTTGGCGCCGGGCCGTGGCCATGATGCACGCGTACCGCGCCGCGTTGTCCCCGGAGGAGGAGCGCCTCCTCCTCTGCGGGGCGCCCTTCGGGGCGCGCCTCGGCTCACAGGGCCCCTCGCCGCGAGGAGGAGGAGGAGGAGGAGGAGGAGGAGGAGGAGGAGGAGGAGCAGGCGGGGCGACGCCGTCCTGGGTGCGGGCGTGAGGTTGGCGCAGCGGTCAGCGTCGAGGGGAAAGGGAGTGCGGGTGGCCTCCTCCTCCTCCTCCTCCTCCTCCTCCTCCCTCCTCCTCCTCCTCCTCCTCCTCCTCCTCCTCCTCCTCCTCCTCCTCCTCCTCCTCCTCCTCCTCCCCTCGCCCCCACGCGGGCCCCTCGTACAGAAGACCTGCTTCGTCGGCGGCGGGGCCTCTTGTTGAGTTCTGCTGCTAAAGCAAGTGCCACAGGCGAGTGCTTGGATGTATGGCCCTTATCTACCACTGTGCACGTGCACTCGCCGGCACAATGCGATTAACGACGAAGTAATATTTGCATGATGGTGCCACTTTTGACATGCGTGGCCCATGTCGGAGCAATTACTGAGGCTCGCATAAGGTCGGCCCACCCTGTACGGATGATTGGATGATATCACGTGGTGACATCTGCCAATGTCCGCCAATGGTGAAAGGAGCACCCTGAGCTTTCAAGGGGGCTGCGATGCGAATCGATATTTGGATGTTGTTCTCATGTGCCTCTGCCGCTGGACAGCTGTATATATAGATAGAGAGAGAGAGAGAGAGAGAGAGATTCTGACGATGAGGGCGCCCTTGGGCGCCAATATATACCAAGTACTGCCAACGAATCTCCCACGAGCCAGCCGCAGAGACTGATCAAGTGCCAACTACAGACGTCGTACACCGCAGGACCAATCAGACAGAGAAGCCACACCTGCATTAAAACAACAAGCTCTGCAGGGGAAGGCACACGCTCAGAAACGCGGTGGGCATGAGTGTTAGCATGCTGGGTAGTTGAGTCGATATTGACCTGACCCCGAAGCAATTACGATTGCAAGACACCTGGACATACATGTGTATATATATATACACGCATCATGCTGGACTACACAAATAGCGTCTGACAATTTGTCTGGGAGGTCACGCTTACAGTTGCCAGCTGCCAGTATCTAATGACATTCAGCCAGCGTTTACACGCTGGCGTCAAGGAGCGAGATGGTCCACTTCTTGGGCAGTCCTGGGATGGGTACCTCAGCCTGAGCTGGTTGATAAACTCTACGCTTGATTTCCATCGGCCCCAGATTGCCTGGGCTGAGGAGGTTCAGGAGGCTCAGGATGAGGCCCCGACCCAGAAGAATGTGCAGCAGCTTCATGCCTTTGACGTTGGGCGTGCCAGCGATCCCACCCTTTCGGGTTCACTTCGTCATCGTCGTTGTCATCATGTTCCTCGTCGTGCATGCCGTCATCGAGGGAATGGGCCCATTGGCTCATTGTTCTCTTACCTCCTGCCCCTCGGTTCTCTCCTGTTGTCGTCGCAGGTGGCGGCTTGAGAGAGGACCAGTCGGTTCTGCAAAGAACACTGTGTTGACGCTTGATACCGCCTGGAATGGCCAGCCCACCGCTTGCGGCACTGTGCTGCACGAGTTACGCATATCAACTTATCCGCCCCACATGGAGTGCGAGACAGACACGACCTCGGCGCCAGGGCGCTGCCGCCGCCCCATGGCGACGGGGGTCGGAACGCCGCCCCGAGGCGACGTGCAAGACATTCTGGACGGCAGTGCGGAGATCCCTGCCCGTGCGGCTGCCCTCGGTCTGCGTCGCCGCGGGCGCCGTGCCGAGGGCGCCGCCCTCCAGGCGCGCAGAAGGCGGCGGGCCAGGCGTAAAATTACCACCAGGAGGCGGAGCGGCGCACGGCGGAACACGGCCCAGGCCCCATGCGGACACCGGAGGAGGAGGAGGAGGAGGAGGAGGAGGGGGGAGGGGGAGGGGGAGGGGGAAGGGGAGGAGGAGGAGGAGGAGGAGGAGGAAGAGGAGGAGGAGGTTCAAGCATGGGGCGCTCCTATCCGCGCCATGGCTCGAGGCTCTCACGCCCCGGGTAGCGCCAAGCCGTCGGGGCAGTACCGGAACGAGTTCATCATGAAGAACAGCATCGGCGCCGTGGCCGTGTCTGTCAGGGCGTGCCGGGCGCGCCCGACGCGCGAGCAACAGGGCAAGAAGGCCACAGCGTCCGTGACTTGTGCAGTGGGCCAGAGCCTTCGTCGCCTTCGTGAAGTTCTTTCACTCCATCGCAGCTATCGTACCATGATGAAGTTCGGGGCGGCGCTGAAGAGGGCGCTGGAGCGCGACGCACAGAAGCCGCTGGACAAGCTGGAGGGGAAGTGACCATGAGTTCATTACCACTGCATGTGACTGATTGGCCCTTGAGCCCCTTACCATTGCATGTGAATGGTGGTAGGGGCCCAGCGTTCTCTACCAATGTATGCGAATGATGGTGATCAGGGTTCTCTAGCGAAGCGCTGCGTAATGACGGTTATCAGTGATCAGATTGTTGTACATGCCTGCCGTTTCGAGTCCCTCGCCTATCCTTACTGGTGGGTGGAGGTATGTCTGGATGGTGGGTGTGTCGAACGGGGGCCAGAGTTCTCGACCACTTCGAGCGAAAGGTGTCAACATGCGCGTGAGCACTCTGCCGAGTACAGGGGGCATGCTGGGGGGGGTGGGCCTTCCCATATGCCGACGACTCCTTCGAGGTCTTCGACTGCCCTGACGCCGTTGGCTGGGGCAGCTGCGTCGTCGGGGCTCATTTCTAGGCCGCCTGCTCCTCTGACGTGATCCAGATCCGCATCGTTCCAGATCCGAAAGCAGAATTCGAAAGCAGAATTCGAAAGAATCCTAATGAATTCCAGATCCAGATCCTAATGTTATCCAGATCCGAAAGCAGAATTCGATAGTTTCGTTCCACCTCCCAGGGCCCATCCCGGGTCCTCGACCTCGGCCCTCGGTCCCCCTCGTGGCCCCTCGACCCCCTCCCGCTCGCGGTCGGCCTCCCGTCCCCGCCTCCGCCCGCGTTTCTCGTGGCATTTGAGCGGCAGCTCGAGTGGCAGGCGTCGTGAGCTGCCCCTCCCTCCCCTGCGGGACAGGGCCCCGGCACCCTCGGAAGCTCGATGGGCTGCCTGCGCAGCCGGCGACCGATGTTTTTTTTTTTGTGGGGGGGGCACGCCCCCACGACGTGAGCGTCGTGTTCTCATTGCTCGGGCCCGTGCGAAGAGCCCGCGAGTCGTTGAGAGCGAGGGGATGTCGGGCCACGGGGGCCCTGCCGGGTGGCCGACGGAGTGTTCTCCTGCAGCTGCGGGGCGGCGCCACGAGGCGCCCACTCTCAGAGCCCCGAATCATCCGGGGCAACTCGGGTCAGGGCTAACTCGGGTTCGTTTCTCGGGATTCCGAGCCCGAGTTGCCCCGGACCCGAGTCACCCTGGATAACTCGGGCGTCCAGAGCCCCAAATCATCAGGGGTATCTCGGGTCAGGGCTGATTCGGGTTCTTTTTCGGGAACCCAAGCCCGAGTTACCCCGGACCCGAGTTACCCCGGATAACTCGGGCGCCCAACATTCGATGCTTCTCCATGAGGGCCGTCTCCAGGCCTGAGCGCTCCTGCCAACAAGGCTCCTGAGGCTGGAAGTCTGCTCGATGCTGCCACCTAGACCCAGGAGCTAGTCTCGCAGCACTGTGAGGCAGTGTATCCGACGGTTCTTTGCTTTGGTTTGCTCTTCCCCCCTTCCCTCTTTTTCCTCCACGCGCCTCGGCCTTCCATCCCCCTTCTCCTGCCATTGTCAGTGGGAGCGCGGAGGTGCCACTAGGGGGGAAGTCCTGATCGAGGAGAAGGCGCTCTACGTAGACCCGGAGGACAGCAGACCAGCCCAGGAGCGGGTAGTGCAGGGCAGCGGCGTAGGAGGAGGATGAGGAGGACCAGGAGGAGGAAGAGGAGGAGAAGGAGGGGGAAGCAAACCCAGTACGCACGACTGATCTTAGAATTCACCCTCCCATCCCGAGTCCCCTTCTCACAACTCAGTGCGGCCATATGCTTCCACCACGGTGAGCAGGCGTTGGAAAGATGACCGTCCCACGGACCTGCACGGTGAGAACCCTGTGTGTTTTGAAATGCTCGTTGCTGAACGGAATGATATTCCACCGTGTTACTCAGTGGCTGCAGCACATCTCGCCAACGTGCCACCGGCCAGGAGCAGAGGGGGGGGAGGGTTCGCGGGCGGGTGCGGGGAAGGGGGATGGGGACTTAGAAAACATGCAGAGACCTCAAAACATCCTGGCAAACTGTCACGCGCACATAGTGCAGGCATGGTAGCAGTAGACGGATGAACCGGAGGAGAATAATGAGGTGTTGTGCGAGGCGATTGCGAGAGCAGCACGGCGCGGAGGGCCATGAACCCACAGAAGATGCGGCAACGATGCGACGTGTGGAAGTTCGGGCTTGACGTCCTCATCCTTCCCCCCTTCCCCTCTTCTGCCTCTTCGTCGTCGTCCTCCTCACCCGTATCCCCAGTGCAAACCACTCCAGAGCCCCATGACCCACACCAACAGTGCATAACGCTCACTTCGTGTAGCGAGAGACGCTCAAAGCTAGAGTGATGTTGTAGAGATGTACTGCGTATGTGCTAGAGGAGTTCCTCCTGCGGCCGAGTGTACTCCTCCTACTCAGACCCCCAGCGTAGCCTTGCACTTTCGTAGAGTATGCTACGCGGTGCGTCGTCCGGCCCTTCATCCCTTTCTTCCTCCTCGGGTTCTCCTCCTCCGCTCAATGAGTATTCTGGAGGAGGAGAAGAAGGGCCAGAAAGTCATCCTCCTTGTTGCGTTGGACAAACCTTGGCTGCCGTGGGCCGTCGCGTCGTGATGGCCGCGATCCGAGCAGCCAGAGATCGGAATGCAGCGCACGGTCCTCCCCCTCCTCCTCCTCCTCCTCCTCCTCCACCTCCACCTTCTCCTCCTCCTCCCCCTCCTCCTCCTCCTCCTCCTCCTCCTCCTCCTCCTCCTCCTCCTCCTCCTCCTCCCCCTCCTCCTCCTCCTCCTCCTCCTCCTCCTCCTCCTCCAGGGCGTAGAACATCGGCCTGAAAGAGAAGCCCCCCAGGGCACAGAGGAGTGCACAATGGCAAGGATGCCCCAGAGCCTCCCACCTTCTCTGCCTCCTGCCCCCTTCTGTGATGGGAGGAGTCCCACCCCCTCTGTCGCTCAACCTCCCACCCACCCGCTGCGATGGGAGGAGTCACACCGGCCGCTCTCCCAGCATGCCTCCATCCATCTCCGTCCCCGCCCCTTTCCTTTTCCCCCAAGAATCTGAAGAGGCGACAGTTTTGCTGCTGTTCGGGAGTCGTAGTCAGGAGCAGTTCACACGTTGTACGATCGGGTCCCAACCAACCAACCAATCCTGCTCCGCCTCGGGGTTGGGAGCGAGAATCGGTCGGCAAGGATGGGCTGGAGGTCGTGGCCGCGACGTTGCTGGGGTCCCGAGGACGCTCCGCCCCTCTCACGGGCCAGAACTCTGACGACTTTTGCTGATTTTCGGGCTCCCGGGGGGTGTTGTTTGATTGTTTGTGCCTCCCTTCGCTGAGGAGGGGCCGGGCTAGTACGGGCGGAGTCCTCTTTCCCCGTTGTGTCTTCGTCCTTACCCAGCGACAAGGAGGAGGAGGAGGAGGAGGAGGAGGAGGAGGAGGAGGAGCAGGAGGAGGAGGAGAAAGAGGATTTTCCCGAACTAGCTTCTCTGTAAGGGTTCTATATAGATGCGTCCCTCCTAAGACACTAGTAGTTACAGGCATTGCCCGATCCGGCGTCGGGCGACTTTGTCTCCCGTTGTCTCCCGCTTTCTCCCGTGACCTCCCGTTGCCTCCTGTTGGTTCCCGCTGTCTCCTGTGGCCTCCCACTGCCTCCCGTGGCCTCCCGTAGCTGACCCTGCCGTACTCATATCCTATCTGCACCCCGATCCCACGCCCTACTCCTGTATCCCCAGCCCTGCATCCCTATCCTCATCCCAATCCCCATGACCCCATCGCGGCCCCCCGTCGTGACCCACCGCGGCCCCCACCGTCACTGTGCGAAGCTGTGTGGGGCATTCTGCCGCAGTGGTGCCATTCGAAGCGGCTGCCGAGCCCAGCGCTACGGGAGGGGGGGGCACTTTGGCATCGCTCGGGCGTGTGCATTTTGTGTTTTGTTTTCTCGGAGAGGGCCCTCGAGGAGCCTCCTGCACCATCGAGCAACAGGAAACACGCTCGAAACCGACACATTCACGGGGAAGGGGCGGGGATTGGACGTCCGGGCGGCGGCGAGGGGAGGCCGTGAACATGATAGACGAGCTGCCGGAGCACTCGCGCGGAGCGGTCCTGCAGATGGCGGGCGTGGAGGGCGCGACCACCGAAGAGGCGCGGGCCGAGCCGGCGCCCCGAGCCGGCGCCGCGCCGCCCCCTCTCCGCTGCCGCTGGTGCCGTCCTCCCGCCGGCCTGCGTCCTCCCCGCCCGCACGCAGGCCCACGTGCGCTCAGACTCGCCCACACCCGGACTCGCTCGCACTCGCACTCGGACGCACTCTCAGACCCACCCAAACTCAGGCTCGCTCACGCTCAGGCTCACCACTCATGCACGTACCGCTCACACTCGTATGCGCTCATTCTCAGGTCAGCATACCCAGACTCACTTGTACTCAGACTCACTCCCGCTCAGTCCCAGTCACACACACAGACTCACTCACAGCCTCCCACTCATACTCGTACCATCATACCACATTCACACATAGTCAGTTACAATCGGGCTCATTCACGCCCAGACGAACTGACACGGGACATAGCAGACATGGCATTCAGGCGCCATCAGAAGGAATTGCAAGGGAGGGGGACCTTTTCGATCAAAAAACAAGCGACACCACCCCACCTACGGCCCTCCATGTTGCGCTACGGCCCATCGGAGGCCGTAGCGTATATCATTCAAGAACCCACGTCAGATGTCCTGGTATACGCTACGGCTCGTGGGGCCGTAGGTGGGGTCGTGTCGTTTGTTTTCTGGTCCACGTGTCCCTTTTGCGCGCAGACTGCGGGGATGTCTCATGCGGTTTGCTTGTTTGGTGGCACAGGTTTATGTCTTCTGAGAGCCCCAGGATGTTTGCGATATAGCATGCGTGGTTTGTGGGCTCACCGGAGAGGGACCGCCAGGGAGGGGGACACTTGCCCGCTCACGCCCAGATTGTGGCAAGGTCTCAGGCGGTTTGCCTGTTTGGTGGCTCAGACCCTTCTGTTCTTGAGAGCCCCATCATTGATCATCGCGACATAGCAGGCGTGACACGTGGTCACCCCAAGGAGAAGCCGCCAGTGACGGGGACATTTGCCAGTTAGCGCCCGGAGTGTAGGGGATATATGATGCGTTTTGTTTTGTTTGTTTGGTGGCCCAAGTTCTATCATCTTTTGGACGAACACATTGATCATCGCGACATCGCAGGTGTGACACGTGGTCACCCCAAGGAGGACCCGCCAGGGAGGGTGACATTTGCCAGTTAGCGCCCAGATGGTGGCGATGTCTCACGCGGTTTTCCTGTTTGGTGGCCCAGGCTCTTGTCTTGTGGAAGCAGGTTGATCACTGCGACATGGCAGACGTGGCATTTGGGGAAGGGGGGCACTTGCCCGTTCGCGCCCAGACTGGGGATGCCTCGGGCGGTTTGCCTGTTTGGTGGCCAAGCGAACTCTCTTGTGAGAGCCCCCTGGTCATCGTGATACAGCAGGTGTGACACGTGGTCGCCCCACCCAGGAGCCGCCAGGGAGGGGGACACCTGCCTGTTCTCTCCCGGACTGTGGGGATGTCTCAGGAGGGCTGCCTGCTTGGAGGCTCCCATGACCGCCGCGATGCAGCAGGCATGGCACCTGAGCACCCCAAGGAGCAGCCGCCAGGGAGGGGGGCACTCGCCCGTTCGCGCCCAGGTCGTGGGTACGTCTCAGGCGGTGTGCCTGTTTGGTGGCCCACTTGTTCCCCAAACAGTGCTTGCGCTCAGGGGTTCTTACAGTCAAAAAACCTGATAAGGACGCGCGACTTTGCTCAGGGTACCCTTGCGTCCTTGCTCTTCCTTGCTCTTGCGTCCTTGAGGTTCTCGTCGTCCGCCGCCCCAGAAATCCCAACTTCGGCTTCCAAGGGTCTTGCGTCCTTACCGCGTGTCCTTCTTAGGGTGTTTGACTGTATGTCTCAGGCGGTGTGCCTGTTTGGTGGCCCACTTGTTCCCCAAACAGAGCTTGCGCTCAGGGGTTCCTGCTTGCGTTCGCAGGCATATGGCCTGCCGCTGCGGTCCGGCCGGCTCGTCGCCGCCCGCCGCCGCCCGCTCGCCGCGGGGCCCCGGCAGCGGTGCGGCCCGCTCGCCGCCGCCCGGCGCCGCGCTGCTTTGCACGGCTCTGCAGTGCTCTCTGTGCTGCTTTACATTGGCTTGTTTTTCGCAGGCCTTGAGCTTGACACCAACACCAAGATCGGCGGTGTGCCTCCACCGAGGGAAGACGATCCCGATCTCGGCGATGGTGGTAGTACGCCGGCTCCTAGGGTGGCCGAACCATTTTTCACCAACACCGAAATCTAGGATCTCATCTTCCCCATGTGGAGGCCACCCCCTGTGCTGGTGTTGGTGCCCACTTCCAGGCATCCAAGTTTTGCCTTGCGTTGCTTTGCGTCGCACTCCACTGCATCGCATCACGTTGCTTTGCATTGCCTTGCTCTGTATCACTCTGCATCTCGTTGCATTGCTCTCCATGTGTTTGTAGTGTCTTGGTTTGGGCACCTCGGGGAGGGACCGCCAGGAAGAGGGACACTTGCCCGTTGTCGCCCAACTGGTGGATGCATCAGGCGGTTTGCCTGTGTGGTGGCCCAGGATCATCCCTTTGACAACCACGGTCATCTCGACACAGCAGGGCGTGGCACTCGGGCTCCCCAGGGAGGAGCCGCCGGGGAGGGGGACACTTGCCCGTTTGCGCCCATAGCGTTAGGGTTTCTCAGGCGGTTTCTCTGACTGGTGTCCCAGACTCCTTGCCGAGAGCCCCATGATCATCGCGACATTGCAGCCGTGGCACGTAGGCACGCCAAAGAGGAGCCGCCAGGGAAGGGGACACGTGTCCATTCGCGCCCAGATTGGTGGGATGTCTCAAGCGGTTTGTTTGCTTGGTGGCCCAGGCTCCTGTCTGCCGAGGGCCCCGTGATCACTGCCACATACCAGGTGTGCAGGTGTGACTTTTGGGCGCCCCGACGAGGAACCGCCAGGGAGGGGGACGCTTGTCCGTTCGCGCGCAAAGCGTTGGTGGCTTCATATGGCCGCATGTTTGGAAGCCCAGATTCCTTTCCGTCGAGTGCCTCTCGGCCAACGCGATATAGCAGGCGCGGCACTTGGGAACCCCAAGGAGCCGCCTGGGAGAGGGGGATACTGTGCCCGTTCGCGCCAACTTGGTGTGTGTGTGTGTGTCTCAGACGGTTTGCCTGTTTGGTGGCCCAGGCTCTCGTCTTTTGAGAACGCCTTGACCCTTGCGACATAGCAGGCGCGGCATTTGGACCCCTCAAGGAGGAGGAGGAGGAGGAGGAGGAGGAGGAGGAGGAGGAGGAGGAGGAGGAGGAGGAGGAGGAGGAGGAGGAGGAGGAGGAGGAGGAGGAAGAGGAGCCGCCAGGGAGGGAGACACTTGCACGTTCGCGCCCAGATTGGTGGAGATGTCTCGTGCGGTTTGCTCGTTTGGGGCCCCGGGACCATCAGACACGGATCCGGGGCGAAAAGCTCTCCAGGTAATTCCGGGAGGGATCCGGCGACCGGTTTTGAGCGGATTTGGCTTCACCCTTTCTTCCTGACAGATTTGCTGGGGTCACAACCATCGGAGGGCACCAACTATGCACCAACACCGATCCTGGCCCAGGATCACCCGGGGCCCAGGATCGGTGTATATGCCTTCTTGCGCAAGGCAGGAGGGCGTATACACGGATCCTGGGCCCAGGGTGATCCTGGCCAGGATCGGTGTTGGTGTATAGCTGGTGCCTTCCTAAACCAGCGTACCCCCCGCGGGCCTGCCCCAAAAGGAGACGACGGTAGAGCTAGCCTTCGGGGGGGGCCCCTCGTCGCCAAGGCCTGGTGGGTTCGGACCCTGGGGAGTGGGGACCCCGGCGGGAGGGGTCCGGGGACCGATTTTTGCAGCTGCCGTCGGTCTCTCAACTCGCCCTGCTCCGAGGGGGGGGGTCGTCCTCGAACGGCGGTAGGGCTGAGGTCGGCGTACTCCTTAGGCGATGCTTAAGAAAACCTAAGTTTTCGGCCAGAGTCTCGATTATTCTTAACGTTTCAATGTAAATCCCAAGATTTTGATAGAAGTTCTGGGTTTTAGTCAATTTCTGAGACTATGAATTTCTTAACCCATGATTTCTTAAGCATTTCGCAGGGTGTACTCGAGACGATCACTGAGATCGGATTCCCGAAAAAAAAGACGGGGAGGGGCAGGCGGGCCGGCCCATGCGAGCCAGGCCTCGGAGGGCCGCGGTCGCCTCTTGCCTCCCCGGCCGCCGTGTCCCCGACTGGCGGGCGCCGAGGGGGGGGGGCAGGAGAGCGAGCGAGGGGAGGAGTCGGCCCGGAGGCGTGCTTCTCTGGCGAGCAGCTGGCCATGCTGCGAGCCCTCCGCACCAACGCCGTGGCGCTCCCGGGCGGAGGCTCGGCCACGGCGTGGAGGGAGGAGAGGAGAGGAGAGGAGAGGAGAGGAGAGGAGAGGAGAGGAGAGGAGAGGGGCAAGAGCAGGAGCAGGAGGAGGAGGATGAGCAGGAGCAGGAGCAGAGGAGCAGGAGCAGGCGGAGCAGGAGGAGGAGGAGCAGGAGCAGGCGGATGGGCAGAAGGAAGGGGCCTATGTAGGAGTGTTTTACGTGAGCTCGGGGTGGAGCGTGCGTGGAGGGGGACGGGTCAGGAGAGGGGGGAAAGATCGGGAAAAAGGGCAGTCAGGGAAAGAGAATGTGATTGGGGGAGCGCGCGGGAGAGGAAAGAGGTAGAGATGAGGTGGGAGTGGAAGCAGGAGTGGGAGGGCGGGGCGGCAGGGGAGAGGGTGAGGGAGCGGGAAGTGGATGGGGGGGGGAACGTGGGGCGAGGGACAAGGGGGGGGTACGGAGCTGAAGCGAGAGGGGAGGAGTGGGGCAGGGAGCGGAAGGGGCGCAGGGAGGGGGGCAGGGAAGGCGGGCGGCGGGAGCTGGGCAGGGCCCGCGTGGGATGGTGGGCAGGGCGGGAAGTGAAACCGCGTAGGTTGGGCACGGTGTGGAGGACGGTGCGGGCACTGGGCGAGGGGCGAGGAGGGGGTTAGGGGGTACAGATCTGGGGGTGGAGGAGGAGGAGGAGGAGGAGGAGGAGGAGGAGGAGGAGGAGGAGGAGGAGGAGGAGGGGCGAGGAGGAGAGGGGGGGAGAGCTTGTCCGCCGCCGCTGCTCCTGCCGCGCTGCTCTCGTTTACCGGCTCTCCCGCGCCGCCGTTGCGTGGCCTGCGCGGGGCGAGCGGGCGGGCCGCGGGGCCGCAGGCCGACGCCTCGAGCGCTCGCTCCCACGGCCTGGCCCGGAGGTTTCCAACATGTCTCGTCGGTTCTGTACTCCAGATTTCGTGATAAAAGGGAGGGGGTATGGACCCTCCAAGACAAGCCATTTCAGACCTCCCCCGTGGGAGAACCCTCCAAAGCATCGTCCCCAGACCCCCCAGGCCCTCCAAGATAGCCTGGAAGAGACCCCCCCCGAAATGAGACCCCCCTGTCCCTTTATTGCGAAATCTGGAGTATTTTTTGCCGCCCCAGGAGGGCGTTCCGCAAATGTCCGAATCTTTCGGGGCGCCCGCCAGAAGCCCGAGGTGTCACCTAAGAACCGAGCCCGTGAAGAGAGAGAGAGGGGGGGCGAACGGTGAGGGGCAAGCCAGGCACTCCGCTATCCATCCTGCCTGTCCCTGCCCACTGCGTCAATTTCTGTCCTCTTCGCCGGGTCGAGGAGCGTAGAGGCAAAAACGTCATTCCGAACGATCGACGACCCCTCGAGGGGCACAAACAAGCGTACGGTAAACGTAATGATGCTGTGGTGTCCTCATACTTCCGTTGTCAAGCATGGCGGTGCCGCTGGCAAAGTGTCTGGCACATCTTGAATGACGATCACGCTGCAGAGGCAGACGGTCACGTCCATCAGCCACGGCGTCATTCTCCTTCGTGGCCGGGTTATCGCCCATGCTATGTTATTAGACACTGCATGGGCGATGTTGTCGTGTCCCGCAACGGAAGCCCGCATTCTACAACGTGGGTGTGTTGGGGGCCCTGGTTTAACAAGGGTCTTTGTGTAGTCCGATGGGCGGGACACGCGCAAACTGTTTGTGCTGCCCCAGGGCCAGTTGACCCTTTTTGCTCGCCAGTGTAGCACGATGGGCGGGGTGATTGCAGAGAGCTCCTGCTGGCCCTCGACAGTGGCGCCCAGGAGCCACTGCGCCAGTGTTTTTCTCGAGGAGCGCTTCACTTTCATCGTTTTCATATCGAAGAAGGAGAACAGCATAAAGATACACTTCCGACGATCCGTGCACATTTCTTGGATCTGCGCTGGCCCCCCGAGGCGGCTCCTCTGGCGCCACCCCTGGCCGCTCCGCGCGCCAGGGAGGGGGGACCAGCGCAGATCCAAAAGATCCGCGTGGAGCTCCGAAAGGTAATGTTTATGTTGTTTATGAAGCTTGTCCTCGATCTATCATAGAGGTCAGGGATCCAGAGGATCTTCCAAGGGGGGTCGCGACAGCTTCCCCGAGCAGGAGCCTTGATGCTTGTGGGCAAGTCGCAAGGCCCTCTCAGAACCTTCTACGGCTCTTGCTTAGGAGCCTCTGGAGGGCTATCAGAAACACGAGGCCGTTTGGAGTGTGAGCCTCTTGTTTGACCCAACTGCAAGGAAACAAGCACAACGTGCAAATGTCAACGCGTACTAGTATAGGTCGACCGCATGTAGCACGGCTCGGCCATGCAGGTGGCCACAGCCATCAGGGTCCTAGGATGTTGTTCGACGGTGTGGATCCGACTATGTAGCTCGACCGTGTAAGTAGGTCCACCCGTATGGCTCGACCATGTAGGTCGGGCCGTGTAGCTCGACTTGCGGAGCTCGACCATGCAGGTTCGACCAGGTCTCTTCACGCTTACAGCACGGTCGCGCAGCACCCACCATGCAGGTCCTACCATGCATGGGCGATCCAATGAGACGCCACTCAACAGACCGAACGAAGCGTCCTCCTGTCCCCTCGAGTTTTCTATGATGAGTATGACAGGTTCTCCTGAAGGAGCCCCGACCCCCGAGACACGGGGGGGGTGGGCATCCTGGGCCTCCTCCTCCCTCCTCCTCCTCCCTCCTCCTCCCTCCTCCCTCCTCCTCCTCCTCCTCCCCCTCCTCCTCCTCCTCCTCCTCCTCCTCCTCCTCCTGCTCCTCCTCCTCCTCCCTCCTCCTCGTCCCGAGCCCCGAGTGGTCCTTCCACTTCGCCGTCTCGACTGCTCGACTGACTGGGACACGGGGGCGCCCCGCGCGACCATTCGGAAGCTTGGCGTGCGCTTCCCGCGCGCTCGAGAGTGACGCCGCGGGCCTCTCCCGGGGCCCCGCCTGTCGGAGGCGAAAACAGAACCCTGCCCTCGCCGATCCACGATTCGGACAACTCGATGGGCGGCGTGGGTAGGGTCTGGACGTCGTCGGGCACGCGGCGAGATCCGGACCTTCCCCCCGCCTCCAGTCGACCCAGGAGAACCGATGTTTGGTGGGGGCATTCCTGGACTTCACAGTGAAGAGGGGGGTGGCTGGAATGGGGGAGGAATCTGCTTGGAGCTGTCTTGGAGGTTCCAGGTGGTCTGAACACAAGACCGTCCTTTCATGGCTCGTCTGGGGAGGGCCTAACATGTATTGGTTTGGGTTAGGGTTCGGATGTCACCACCCGGCAAGGAGGCCCAGGGCGCCAGCTCAAGAAGCGCCCAGCTCGCGCCAAGCCATGCGGTGCCGCGCCTGCGCCAATGCCAAGCCCTCGCATGCAGCGCCCAGCGCGCCGCTCAGCTCCACCGGTCGCTCAGTGGGCGAGCGGGGGCGGGGTCGCTTGACGTTCGGCCGCGTCGGAGCGGTAGTGTCGCCGGCCTGGAAGCTTAAAGGGGATTAGTTTAGAGTTGAACATGCAAGGGGGGTGGTCTGATTTGGGGGGGTCTGATTTGGGCTGTCTTGGAGGGTTCGTGGGGTCTGGGCAAGAGGCCGCCCTTTCACCTCTGGTCTGGGAGGGGTCCAGAATCGCTCGTCTGGGAGGGTTGTGCCCCCCCCCCCCCCTCTTAGCATGACATCCGGAGTATGTTGCAATCGCCAGAGCGCGCCCCTGGTCAGTGCTCTGGTGCCGCGCGCTGCATTTCGCCCAGTCCCGCCGCAAGGTCGTCGCCGCTGGCACGCTGGCATCTGGCCCAGCCCCACGGCGCGCCGCGCGCTCGGTCGCTCGACGTCGGCCGGCTCGAAGGCCGCCCGCGAGGCGTCGATCTGCGTCGCGAAGGCCGGGACTTCAGCGGGTGATTTCCGCGGCGGGGTCGCGTGCGCAAGCCTCAGGGGGTGTCGCGGGCGCGCCAGGGGCGCGCAGAAGCAGCGCGGGCCTCGACCATGGCGACATTGGGCATCGGCGCCCGAGCGGTCGGGGCGGGCCCCTCACGCCCCCACGCTGAGCAGCTGCGTTTCGTCGCGCGGCGCCGCGCGCGCCGACGGATGCAGTCGAACATGGCATGTCTCGGGCACTGAGAGAACTCCCAGCCAGACAAGTCGACTGGGGAAATCTTCACGGGGTCCGTCACTCGACACTGGCATCAGAGTTTACGGGTGCTTTCCAACAGCCGGCTTCGCTAATTGACGTGCGTTTCGCCGGATGCTTTCGGCCGTCCTTGGACGTCGACTAGTGAGTAGTGGGTCCGGCTGGGTGCCCTCGGAAGGCGGTGCCCTGCGCACGCCGAGTGCCCCTGGCAGGCTTCACTGAAGGGTGTTTTGCTGAAGGGGTGTCTGTTCACTCCCGATTTCCCCTTGGAGAATGATTTGCAACAAGAGTCCAGAGCTTCGACTCCAATGCGCTGAGGGATGCGAAGGGCGAGTGGGCCCCCTGGGCGGATCTCCACGATCACCCTCTCATCAGGGAGCTGGCTTCGAGTGCCACGAGCTGCTGGCGAAGACATCCACGGGCTTGAAAGGCGCGGCGAAGGGCGGGGCCAAAGGGCGGCCTGCCCAATGAACACAGCACATGAGCCACGTTTCAGTTATTCCACCCGCAGCCGTCAATACTGCGAAATAGAGTTTGCGCAGCCAGCGAATATTTCATGATAGTATACTTGTCTACTTAGTTGCGCTCTTCCTGCAGCCGGCTCCGCTGCAGAGGCCAATGTGATTCGTGGTGGTCGTTTTCTCTCTTGCGAGCGGTATATACGAGCCGCCACTTGGAACGTGAAAGGGTTGAGCTGGAGTGCCACATGAATGGGTGCGATACAGATGTGCTCTGTCTACCAGAACTCACACGACAGGTGCTGCGTACTGCACCACAGAGTCCGGATTCCTCCTCATCCTTTCTGGGATCCCCGAGGGTGCCCCGGCGGAGACTGCGGGCGTTGGCTTCTTGATCGCACTCCATGTCCGCCAAAGCGTGGCTGGTTTCCGGCAAGAAACAGCAAAGATGGCA